TACGAACAAACCGATCCAGCCTACCATCAACCGCAATATCACCAAACCACCCAACATCCTCAATACCAAACACCTCAAGATCCATTTCCTTTCTACCCACCGTACTCAGACGATCAATGCTACAGACTCACCATGGAACCCCACCCACCGCCAACACGACCAAACTTTGAGGGTATGGGTAACCGACTGTACCAAAGCGGATCTTCTAGATATGGAGATCTGACTGATTTTATAGATCTGGACCGCATTGACTTCGCTGGGCCATCGATCCTGCCGCAGCAGGAAACGCGATGACACCCAGCACGGGAAAGACGGGGACGGGGATGCGGAACCGGGGGTCATTACCGGGTTCCGGGGGATCACTGATTTATCTGAGTTTTTTTTCCTATATTTTTTTATCTGTTTTTTTAATGTAATACAGTTGAATGTAATTATTTTTTTTTTAATAAAAAGTCCATTTTGTTGATCCTGTATCCAATACGCAACGCACCGGACAAAAAAAATTCAAATTTTACCCTAAAATAACACCTAGGCGCCATCTCACTTGACTTAGGGCATGCCCTAAGCACATAGGCGCCAAGTGAGATGACGCCTCCTCTTAAAAAATGGGAGTAGGCGCCAATTCAGATGGCTCCTCCTTTAGAGAGTCATCTGAAACATAGTTATTTGCGTAATTTTTTCCAAAACGCGGTTATTTACGAAAAAAATTTTAACATATAGATATTCAAAAAAAAAAATTCTTCCTCGTACGCCTACCAGAGATTCATCTCAACCTATTAGAAAACTTCTATGGCAACTTTCATCATCATCTTATCAATTTCTTGTGCCACGTCGAAATAGTTATAATCATGAGTTTGTATTTTAAAAAGTTTTGATCAATGTAAAAAGAAATTTGATCATGTTAATAATATTAGAATGTTTCTAAATAGCTAAACGCGTGCTGCTATGAATCAAAAGTGGTTTCATCATGTTAAAAAGTTGTTTGAATATTTACAAGGAAGAACAATGTTAGAGATATTCATTTAAAAAATAAATAAAAACTATTTTAATATAAAAAATATTAATGATTACTCCAAAAATCTCTTAAGTGTTTAAAGTAATAAAAATTTTAAAAATTTTTAAAAATTTATTTTTATAAAAAAATATTTTTTTTATTTGATATCTTTAAAGATTGCCTCAAGACCCTAGTTAACATAAACCTTTTAATATTTACTTTTCTATTAGATAAAATTTAAGTGAGTCTCATATTTTAAAAATGAATTTCATAAAGTAATGAGTTTCGTATGAGTTTAATACAATAGTGAATTAAAATGAACATTGGAAAAAAATATGTTAGTAGTACTAATATTTAAGCAACTATTTTTCTAGTACAATGATCAAAACAATGTTGCGTATTACATTTATCAATTAATATTTGCGTTTTTATTATGGTGTTTTGATGTTTACTTTATTTATTTTCCCTTTTAACTGTTTTGAGGTTATTTTCTATGAACATTTCAGTTAACGTTAGTAAATATTAAAAAGAAGAAAAACAGAAAAATATATCTAAATGTATATTTTGTTGGTTAGTTTTGTCTTTAAGAAATTTTTTGTTGTTTAAACTAGTAATAAAAAACTATTAACAAGGAAAAATACAGGACTTTTATTTTGTAATGTTGATACAGACTTGAATTATAGTGATAGAGATTAAATAATCATTTGTTATATTTTATTAAACTTACAAAATATTACATAAAATTATTAAGATTCTATTTGACATGATATATTTTAAATTTTATATTTTAAAATTTATAAACTCATGATAATAAAATATTTGTTTAGTTTCTTCATCATATACTTATAATTTATGTTACAAATATATATTTTATTTTTTTAGATGTTATTTCAAATAGAATTATAATTTACAATTTATTGTTTTTTCTTTTACTTTTAACCATTAATAAATTCAAATTATTAAATTGTAAATATAGTAAATATCTATCTTTATTAATTAAAAATATTATGTTTTATTTATTAATTATTTAAATCGTCAATTTTATCAAATATTTCAGTTAATTTCAATCATCAATCATCAACTTTAAATTATAAATTATAAGATATTAAACATAAATTATAAACTAATTTATCAAACAACTATTATTTTTACCATGCAAATCTAAATCAACAAAAATGAATTGGAACACTTTACTTAATATTTTTAAATTAATTTTTATAATAATAGAGTATTTTATTTTTAACGCCTCAAATATATTTTTTATAAAGAATAAAACAAATAAATAAGTAAAATATATTTTGTTTCAAATAAATATTATTTTATATAAATATTATTTTAAATTAAATATCATTATTAATTTAAAATATAATATTAATTAATTTTTTTTGTATTAAAATTTTAATTCTCATATTTATACGTTTAGGAAATTAAATTTTCTATTTTAAATCCTAACAATTTTGATCTTCTTATATTTCATATTGGAAATATATATATATATATATATATATATATATATATATATATATATATATATATATATATATATATATATATATATATATATATATATATATATATATATATATATATATATATATATATATATATATATATATATATATATATATATATATATATATATATATATATATATATATATATATATATATATATATATATATATATATATATATATATATATATATATATATATATATATATATATATATATATATATATATATATATATATATATATATATATATATATATATATATATATATATATATATATATATATATATATATATATATATATATATTTATCATATATTATTTTACTTTAAATTGACGAATAGTTGTTTTTAATGACATATAATTTATGTTTTTTTTTATTTTAAAATTTTTATTAAAAAATTATATATGATAAATTTTTATTTTTTCAAGTGACACATCAATTAAAAATAATTGTTTCATAAATCTCAAATGTGAAAATATGAAATTGTTTAAATTTAAAACAATTAAAACAGAAGATCTAAATGATAACTAAAACTTATCCATTCAACCAAAACCATGCTAAGAGATATAGTTTATATATCAATAAATACTATTTCAAAAGATGAGTAAGATAAACTAATTTATATTAATTAATTAAATTATTATTAATTTATAATTTATAATTTAACTTCTAATAATTAATAAATAAATATTGATGTTAGATATTTAACTTTAAATTAATAATTTATAATTAAATAATTTAATTAACATATATTTATGAATAATTTATGATTATTTAATTCAACTAACACATATCAATTGAATTATCTTATTTCATTACAAAATATATGTATGTAATATAGATATAATTTTTTATTAAATTATTATTTTTATTTTTATATCTATAGTTGTAAATAATATATTTTTATTAGTACAATATTAATTTCTAAATATTGAAACAAGATCAATGATGTGCTATCTTAAAAAGAAGTGAACAATAGGTAAGGCTGCGATGATCCACCCTCCCTATTCTGATATGAGAAGTTACGCGGCTGGCATTATAATTAAGCCATGCTTTTGTTGAACAGCTTTAATATAAAAGCTGTTTTCTGTTTGATCTCTACGTCTCAGTCATATATCTCAAAATTATCAAATGTCAGAAACCAGATATTCACATATCTTCATGCAATTGTCACACAACACAGAAAATCTACTTTTCCACTCCTCAAATATTTCTCATCTTCCCAAGATATTATGACTGATTTGATATACTAATTAATTAAAATATGAAAAGACATGGCATGAGTACGAAAAGAAAAGGCTTGTTTTTGCTTACCCTTTGCACTTCCTTAGCTATTATAGCTAGATTATCTACTATCAATACTAGTAATATTCAAGAATAACCCTATTTATTTTAAAAATAATTCAATTGAGCATGCAAATAGTAGAGATTAATGCTTACATTTTTTTTCTTTTTAAAAGTCAATTTTTTAAATAAAATATTGTGTTGACAAATAAAAATATTATAAAAGTCAAGTGAAACATTATTTTTACCGATAAAAAAAAAATTAATTAAACCAACAATTTAAACTAAATCAAAATAAATTAAAATCGATTGTTTCTTTTAATTCTAAAATCGAAAAATATGATAATAAAGAATACATTAAATAAATAAAATATTTGAAAAAATAATTATAACTTGATTACTCGAACCAAAACAAGCTGAATCAAATTAGTTAATATAATTCAATTTTATTTTTGAAAAATATTAAGAACCGAACCAAATCAAATATTATCATATTAGACTTTTTTTAATTAAAATCGATTCAAACCAAACCAATTATATTACACCCTTAATTTCTTTATTTAGATACAATTTTCACCTCAACAAATTTTGACTTCCAAGACAAATTTATTTTAAAAAATTATTATAAAATTTATTTTAAATGTCTAAATATGTTAAATAGATCTTAATCATATCTCAACTATATCCTTAAATTTGAACATCGATTCTAAAAAGAAACCAAACATAATTGAAAAAATTAAACCTAAAACAATATATTATATAGCATCCAAATCTCTTCCAAGAAAAAACATTTCATGTGATATGGCCATGTTATAAAGTGAGACATTGTTCCTCACAAAGACTTCTAAAAAACAAAAAATAACAAAACAGATAGATTAAAGAAAACAAGGTATCCTCCCTAAAAGCTACCAACCCATCACATAAATGCAGGCATCACTCATACATCTCTTAATCCAATTTACTAGGTGAGAGTACATATGTTTTTAACCAACAAACAAAATTCAAATCTCTTAATTGATACTCCCTCTATCCTATCCTAAATTATAAGAGAAATTTATTTTTTAGATTTATTAAATAATTAATATATTTAATTTATATATAAATTATATATATTAATTATTTAGTAAACCTAAAAAATAAACTTCACTTGTAATTTGGAACGGGATGGAGGGTGTATCATTCTATTCTAGCTTGTGATGTCTTTTTAGCAAATGTCAATTCTGTTTCCATTTACATTTTCCAACAAACCCTTGCACTCTTCCTCTTTTGATATGTCTTTATTCTTACTTGCATTACAAATTGCCATTTCTACTTTTGTTAGTTTCTCTGCCTTCATTGCCTCAGCTTCCCAATCCGTACGTACAATCACAACATATAGAATTGATAAAGCACATGCAACTTGGGCTGATAAAAGCCCAAACCAAAGCCCGCTAAAACCAATTTTGAACCAAAATGCCAACCCTACCGCGACCGGCGTGCCAACGAAATAGAATGAACCTAGGTTGATGTTGGCGCCGATGACGGGACGGGCAGTGCCGCGGAGTATGCCGCATCCGGTTGTTTGTGGGCAGTTTGCGAGCTCGCATAGGCCCATTATTGGCATGACGGATGCAACCAAGGCTTTGACGGGTTCATCGTTTGTAAAAAGCCCGGCCCATCCGTATCGAAGAACCACTGTCCATGTCACATTTATAAATCCCATCACAAATGCACATCCTAATGCAACCATGGCTGCTAGCTTTGCTTTATATGGTTTACCTGCTCCAAGCTCATTCCCTACCTACACTTATTGAATTCAAATTTATTATACTTAACTCATTTTAATAATGTAGCAAACATGATAGTTAAAATATACTCCTACACTAACATCTAAAGTGAAATACATAATTAAAAATATTGAATGAGTCCCTACAAGGAAAGTGAGATGCATTTTAGATGTGATAGTTAGAATATTTGGTAAAATAGAAATCTATGATGATGGAGTTCCTATGCAAGCCAAACAGAATTCCACTTATAAGTGATTAATTACTAGTTTTGTGGAGTCACATTACAAGTGTGACTTAACTCAAATGGGTCCTTGTACTTTACGCAATCATATAACAAATTTAATTTATACCCCATTAAGCATAAACCAAATATTTATGATTAGCTCAAAAGGAATATCAAAAAAATAAAAAACAAAGGAAAAAGTTCTAAGATTCAAGACAATAACTTTAAACAAAATAACAACATAAAATCTACACACGTGTATTTGGCATCTGATAAGATAGAGATAAAAAACAAAAAAAAATTACTTTTGGCACTAATTTTTTAATTTTTTATGTTAACCATTAACTATTAAACTTTTGTTTTTAATTATATATTTATAGAAGAAACAATTTAAAATTGAGATTCTCCATAGTTGAAAACAACCGTAAAGGACAGTGATTCGTCAGACAAAAATTAAATGAAGAAAATCAAACCGAATTTGACATTTAATTCTATTTTAGTAGCCTAGATACAAGGAATAAAAGAATATTAAAAAACAAAAATTGCATAGAAAATATAATTAAATTAATAAAATAATAATTTATTGTAGAATATACAAGCATATCAAGGAAAAAAAGTCATTATTTTGCCTCTTGAAGCATGTTAGGAATCAACTCAGTGTGCAAATGTGATTTAGTCTTAGTTGGAGATATTTGAATTTATTTTTAAAAACAATTTAAATTTCAAACTTATATTCTTTCAAATAAAAATAATACTTTCTGCTTGCAAGTTAAAAAATCTAGTCACATATAGAGTATAAAAATCAAAGTCACTCCATTACTCTCACTATTTTCTATATAATTCTTCATGCCACCCCACCCAATATTATTCCAAGTGGAAAATATAGAAAAATATTCGTTATTCGTTATTGCTATCAAAAACTTTTTGGCTTCCAAATGTACAATGTTAAAATAAATTTATGTTGCTGAATAATACACATTTTATCGTCGCGGAAAATACGCAACTTCATTTGACTAAAAGTCCCTCAAAACAAAAAAAAAAAGTCTAAATGGGACCTTTAAAATCAATACAGTAGTTTCTAAAAACAATTATTAGAACTAATCATTTTAGTTACTAAAATACAACGGTCCCTAAATATATGAAAACATATTATAAACAATTTTTTAGACATGGTGTACATGGATCGGATGAATAGACTAAATTCAATCTAACTGATTTTAAAAAAAAAGGATTGGACCAGAATAGTTAGTCAAAATGATATAAAAAAAATAAAAAAACCATTTAAAATAATTAAATTTCTGATTAACACAAACTCAATACATAAAACACAATCAACACAAGTGACTCGATCTATAAAATAAATTGGAGCACCAACTATTAGATTTTAAAAAAAAATCTTACTATATTGATATTTATATTTTTATTATTGAAGTTTAGTTGAAAATATTAATTTATAAGTCATGATTCTAAGTTATTTAAAATATCATATTTTGTATTTTAATTTTAAGTTAAATCTATTACGTTGTCTATTTTATGTAATAATATTTATATTTTAATAACATGATATAATATAAGTTAGATTAACTAATATTTGTGTAGTACTATGAACTAAGTTAACTTAAGTAATGTCTCCGAGTTACTATCAAGTGAATCAGTTTACTATCGAGGGAGTTAAGTTAACCAATGTATATGCAGTATTATAGATTTTGTTATGCATTGATAATATTATGGGTAGCTACGAATAAAAGAAGTAAAGAGAAGAGAAACATACCCTAGCAGAAACACAACCAGCAAGAGCCATAGGAACAGTATACATCATGCTTGTTGTCTGAATCAAAATCCCAGTTGCAGCAACCGCCAACGTCGGATTCTCCAAATAGCCAGCCATAACAGTAACAATCTCGTACCACCACCATTCCAAACATATCATCAAACAACTAGGAACCGCCAATTTCATCAATTCACCCAAACCACTACCATAACAACCACCACCACCACAACTCCACCTCAACTTCGTCTCCTTCCTCCTAAACACCGCCACATACCCCGCCATCAAAACCACCATGTTCATATTCGTCAACACCGACGCCATCGCCACCCCCGGTACACCAAGTTCCATCACCACCACCAACAAATAATTCAACGGAACATGAAATACTACCGCTATCAACGAACAGTACATCATCGGCTTCGTCACTTTCTGCGACCTTAGAAAAACCCTCAAGGGCTGTAACAACGTGTTCGTCAAAAGATCCGGCAATGAATAAAAACAATACACCGCCGCCATTTCAGTTATCCCACTGTCTTGACCCATGAACAGCATGATTCTTTCAAGGTTAACCCAAAGAGCACTTATGGGTATTATCGCCATCAAAAGTATCAACACCATTCGTTGTAGTGAAAGCGAAAGAAGCTCCCAGTTTTTGCTACCGAAAGCTTGGCTACAAACAGGTTCAAGACCAGATGCAAGACCAACAAGAACAGAGTACCCTGTTATGTTTGTGAAACCTATGGAGAGTGCACCACCAGCCAGCTCTAAACTTCCGAGTCTACCGAGGAAAAGAACAGAAACAACAGCTCTCACGAAAACCAACATGTTCATTGCTGTTATGGGTAAAGCCATGCTCCATAGCTCCTTCAACTCTTCCACCACCTTGTTACAAAAATGTTTTTCAAACATAAACATAATTTAAGGTTTTTCTTAGCCAAAAAAAAAACATCATAGGTAAAACAAAACAAATTTTACCTGAGTGGTTGTTGGAAATTTGTGAGAAAAGAAATCACGGTCATTAATGTCATCCATTTTTGTGATGATGATCAATATGTATTCTTGTTCTACAAAAGAGTGCTGAATTAATCAAACAGTGAGGGGAAGATGAAAAAACATGAAAAAAAGTTACTATAGTTTTTGTTTGAATAGGATTGATTATAGATAATCTAGCTAACTATAATAGCTAAGAAAGTGAAAAGGGTAAGGAAAAACAAACCTTTTCGTGTTCCGATTGTAGAGAGAACCGGAAAAGGGTAAGGCAAAGAATGTATGAGAAGAAGAAAAAAAAGTTATTTGAGGAAAAGGAACAATGAAGTAGAGAGACCAATTACAATAGCATTGGAAAAGGTTCAAAGTATTTACCAATTGGAAAGCACCCAAAAATAAACTAGTAATAATAAAAGTTGTAACTGTATTTTTGGTAAGACAGAGTAGTCTAAAGAGTAGCATGGAGTACTTGAAAGCATATTAGATTTTTGGTAAAATTATTAGATTGTTGTAATAATTTGGTAAAAATTAAAATATCAAATTATCAATTAATTAATAAAAATAATTTAATAAAATCATTCCTCTCTTTCATTTATTATAATTTTTTAATATGTAAAAGTGTTAATTATAAAAATCATTTTAAAATAAAGAAATTAATATTTATTATTATGTTAATTATTTATGATAATGAAATAGTATTAAAATTTTAAGTATCCAACCTGTGATCTTTCAAAATTATTAAAATTGTTGGTTTTTACCAACTGCGCCATAAATTATTTTAATGTTTAGTTTTATTTATTCTATAATTAGAATATTACAATTTTCTTTAAATTTATTTAATATTAATCATACAATATAGTAATATAATAAATTTAAAAAATTAAAAAATTAATTATAAGATATAATAATATTTTAAAGTAACAAAAATTTTGAAAAAAAATCATATTATAAAAAATAAAATTATATTTTCAAATTTCAAATATATTTGACGAGTAGGATCTGTTTTTCCACTCTAATTTAAAGTTATAATTTATCAATTTCAACTCTTTTCTTATAAATAAAAAATATTAATTAAATAAGTTTTTATATTTCATTTTATTAATTAGTTTAAGTATGCTTCACAAACACATATTTAATATTTTACCAAATGGTAAATAAAACAAAACAAAAAAATCGCATTAATGATGATTAATAATAATATCATTTCAGATTTAAATTCTATTTACCATTTTTATGTTAGTTATTTGAAAACTGAATCCTCCACATTCTGGTTTTTATCATTGTTAAAATGTTAAATAAGATTTTTTTTTTAAATTATCAATTTTAAATTTTAATTGTTTGATAAAAAAATCGATTGATCAAATAGCTAACTTCTTTTTATCACGGATGGAATAGCTAAACTATACGTGAATAGATGGTTTTTTTTACTGCCTCAGAAATCTGGGTCCATTTATTTGTCACATTAAGTTTCTCTAACCAAAAAAAAAATCATCATTCTGTAAAACTAGTATTAAAATAATTTCAGTGAAAATGCTTTATTTAGAAAATATATTTTAAGAACTTCAATAATTAAATCTAAATAAATACTAATTTTTAAGAAACTTGCTGTGGCGGCGTGTAAGAAAAGTTAAAGAACGAGAAGATGAAGGAGTTTAAAAATTATTTAAAACTTTATTATCATAATTAATTGTAACACTAAAAGTGTAGTTTTACTTTTCTTTTTTGCTTACAGTGATGCTAGAGAGACTGAGAGAGAAAAAAGGTAAAATTAGAGATAATTACAATTTACAGGTCAGTTTTGGGTTCCAAGAAGGTGGTGAGTTATTCTTTCTTTGTTTAGTTCAAAATTTAAAGACGCAAATTTTTTTCATTCACCATAATTATGTCACTATCACAATGTTGCATACGTGTCATATTTAATGAAAGTCGATTTTTTTAAAAGAATTATAGTTTCTCTATTTTTTTATTAAAAAGTGTAGCTTATATAAATTTTGTTGGTCTTGTAATGAGTAATTGTATTTGCATGTATTTAAAATTAAAAATTAAAAATTGTATCATAAGTATCGGAAGTGATCGAAGATTGGAGATCGTAAGTTGTAATAATAGATTTGAGTTTTTGGTACGGTAGAAAAGGAATTGTCTTGTAAGGTTAATATTCTAACACTCAAGTCAATATAAGAGTAAAATGAGTAAATGAAGTTTGAATTTAAATCGTATTTGGAAAAATTGGCAAGCATCGTCCTTATATAATAGAGTGATTATAATAGCTTGTTGATCTTTAGGTCTGGGATATGGGGATCGGTTGGATGGGTCCTGGATTCGGATCACATGTGCTTTAGCCCGATGGCACACCTGCTTTACGAGTAACTTAGTGGATCAGTGTATTCTCTGGGTTGCGTCTGTTGGGTCTTCTGACATACCTAAAACAGTTGTCCTCCCCCTAAGGCCTTGCCTATGCTCTGTAGGGTGAGGGCTTTGTTGTGTTTGTCTTTTTCTGTCGGTCATAGCTCGTCTTGAGTAGAAAGTTAAAATGTGACATTGTTGTCATTCGAAATGTGCGCCTTAATTATGCCTCATACTTTAGATGTATTTTTCGTATGCTCTATCATAATGACCTTTGGAAACTAGAGTACTTGAGAGTCTTTTTGAGGCAATATGGACCGTTGATAGTTCATATCATCTTTCTTTTGGTAAGACAATGTGCGATCTTTGTGGAATCAATTATACTTTTTCTTCGGGAGTTACGTTTGTTCTTTTTGTCATATGTACTACTACAACATATTATTTTCTAATTCGATGGAAGTGGTGTTCGCCATGAGTCAAAAATTGAATAAGGATACTTATGTCTCTTGGGGTAGATCTCGCAATTTTTGAAATTGTTTCTATCTTTGCTCGGGAAGATATTCTTTAAAGGGTTTTTCTTGACGTGGGTCATTCTTATGACTGGGGCGTATTGATCCTTGAGGAAGATAAAAACATTTGCAGTGAGTATGATGATTGCACTATTCCTTTTTATGAGTGCACTTTTACAATCCCAGGTCTCTGCTTGCCCTTCAATAGTTTTGAAATAAAGGTTTTGAACCATCTAATGATTTTCCCCTCACAACTAAACTCTATGAGTTAGGCTTATATTAAAGTCTTCTAGTATTGGTGTGATTATCGAGGAAGAAAGCCATATTTGTCACTTTTCTTCCAACTTTTCAGGGTACAATATAGGAGATACGTAGGCACGCGGTTAAAACCAAGGCGAGTTTACAACTAAAAATTAAATCTTTTTCTCAACATATAGAAATATTAACTACCAAATTCCCCATCTCAACCTTAAACCTAAAAGAGGAGCTCCTTGAGAACAAGGGAGATGAAGGGTGCCTAACACCTTCCCTTCATCTAATTGACTTACGAGTTTAGAATCTCTAAACAATTAAGGTTATCCATTCTTTCTCGTCCTTAGGACAAAAATTAGTGGTGGCGACTCACATATTTTTTTTCCGGTTACGACACGATGTGAATTTGGTTTTTTCCTAGAAGCTGCTAGGAGCCACTTATTGTCATGCCATGTACACCGATAACCACTCCCTGACCTCTTCGGCCTCAGGTGTTACATGACCATCAGCTTCTGATTAGTTCGTCCCTGAACCATATCATACTAGGAGTGGTCTTTTCTGATATCATTTGTAATACACCTGATTGCTTTCAGGATTATCGACCCCACAAACCAATACAGGTATATCCAGCATGCTTTGTCCTCACTCACACGCTTTTCGTGAAACTTTCCAGAATGTCACCCATCCAAATACTACTCCAAGTCAAGCATGCTTAACTATAAAGTTTTTATTTGTTTGGCTACCGAAAAGAATATGTTACATGTGTTACATGTCCACTAGCCTCCACTTGGTTCATCCCCAAACCACATTGTACTAGAAGAGGTATGCTCTAATACCATTTGTAACGCCCAAAATAACTTTCAGAATTACCGACTCACCCTACAAACTAACACGGGTCTTTTTAACATGCTTTGTCCTCACTCAAACGTTTTCTGGGAAACTTCCCAGAAGGTCACCCATCTAAATACTAATCTAAGTCAAGCACGTTTAACTATGAAGTTCTTATTTGTTCCGTGATACGGTGGGAAAACTGACTTGGGTGTTTTGCATTTTATCGCAAATGTTGCGGTTAGCAAGAGTCGCCACCGACTTTTCTTTTATCCAAAAGGAAAGGCTGAAAAGAACAGGAAAGACCTTTGAGATTATTTTTTGAGTTCGGGGGGTAGATTATGAAAAGGGAAGGTGTTAGCACCCTTTTCATCCATAGTTACCTATGGGCTCTTAGTTGCTTGCTAGATCACTTGCTTTTGTTTGAAAATGTGCTTTGTGTGGTTTTTGAAAGTATTTTGAAAAGGCGCCATCGTTTAGGAAAATTTGTAATAGTTTTCGTTCGTAAGAACGTATACAAAGTGTTGATCTTTTGAAAATGTTTCAAGTTTGGAAAGTGTTTTGAAAGTTTTCTTGAAAGAGTTTTTGAAAGTGTTGGTGTTTGTTTTGAAAATAAGCAAGAGTGTTTAAAGGTGAAAGATGATTGAACACTAGACTACCCAAAAATTTGCACTCGAAGATGGATTTTGAATGGACTTATAGATTCCATTTGGAGGAATGTTAGTAAATACTGGAAGAAGTATCAGCACAAATCTCTTGTTGATTTATACTAAAACTTGATGTTTTTCCTGTGAGAAAAAGAGTTAGTAAAATGCAGATGTATGCATGATGTTCACCAGATGTGGTATTATGCTAAATGCATTTTATATGTATATGATTATGATGTATGAATGTGAGATATATGTTTTTGTCCAGGAAAATAAATCCCTGACTACCGTTGAGGAAGTTCTGGGGGGTTGAATCCCTGATTTCCGTTGGGGATGAAGAATATACATATCTTCATACTTTGTTGAAAGGATGCTTCTGCTGGGGAATATCTCTTTGAATGTCATATGTTATCTGGTCGGATCCAGGCTTCAAAACTTACTGAGAATGAGGAAGTCAACTGCTATC